ATGATTAAGTGAACTTAATCATTCAAGTGAATTTAAAATAAAATTATAAAGAGCGTCCAGTGATCTGACCTTGAATCTTAGATTGAGTCTTTTCTGAGGAAGCCGAGCCAAAATGCACAGTAGAATGACCTCAACCACACTAGTAACTGACAGCAGAACAATTCCAGTCACGAACGAACTTTCAGATATCTTGTCAGTGTCTAGAAAGTGAGTGACCACACATGTAGCTGCACATATGAACGCACCAGATGCTGAAAAATAACGAGCAAAAACTTCTAGGGAAATATGGTTTTCCTAATAAGTAAGCAATCGCATTTGAGTAATCTTCATACCGAAGTGTTTATCATTTGTGTACTAATCATTGGGTTAGTATCACATATAATGAGGTTTTTGAACAATTAACGAAAATTGAGGTGAAATATTAAGTACCTCTAACCTCAATTGATAAATATTTAAAGCATTGAGTGTTAGTCCGAAAAATATTTTAATAATTTTTGGCACCAAATTACAACCTGGTGCTGCTGTTCAGTCAAGTCTAGGTGGACATTTGTGCCAGCAAGCTGAAGGGATCCAAATATATAAGAAAATTTGGCCGGGTGGGGGATGACAAACAGGAGATTTCACATTAAAAAATTAACGAAACTTTTCATTGGGATTTAATTTGGTTTAAACTTTTTCGATTTAACTTTTTTCGATTATACTTTCAAATTTATTTTTGAGCGAGTAAATCGAGATGCTTTTGATAAATTTAACCCAATTTCAGAAAACTAGATCAATATGAGCTATTTTTGGAAAACTCTTAAAATTTTATTCCATTTTTGAAATCAGAAGTCTTTCATTTTTTTTGCTCCATTTCGCTTTCGTATTTGTAGAGCGCATTCTGCATTTTTGCTTTTTGTTGATCATTTGGCTCAAAAGTTCAATTGGATTTTAGTTGGCTTAAGCCTTTGATTAAAATGCAGTCAACTATTAGCTGATAAAAAATACTGAGAAAAAGAGTTTTTTCGAGCCTTTGGAAAAAAATTTACTATTAAAATCGATGAATAAGACTAACTAAAGTCCTTCAATTTGTTCAAAATTCCAATTCCCATAACTGCCTTATTTGTTAGGTGACAAAATTCATAAACATATTGCAAGGCTTAAGGTTTTTGTGTACACTCAAAAACTCAAAAAAGTCATTTCCTACCTGGTTTCTGGGTAAAAAGGACGTGAGTTTTTTACTACAGAAAAACTAAAAAAAGATCAATTTTTTTTTAAGTTACCATTTTCAATTTTGTGTTTTTCCGTTATTTATATGAATGAATTTGTGGTTGCATATGTGTGTGTGTGCGTGTGTGTGTGTGTGTGTGTGTTTGTGACAGTAAACTAGAGCTCAAAAAAACTGGCACTAATAAAATTTAAATTTCAAAATGTACAAGTTTGTTGAATTTTACCCGCTTAAAGTGAATCAAAATTGAGAGTGAAACTTAACAATGGGCTGGCTGGAATGCAAAAAAGTATAATTTGCAATAAACTAATTCTGTAGAAAACATTTTCAGATGGACCGATTAAACACCATTGATTAAAAATTTCATAAACAGGGGCCGATAAAGGATTTTCTCAAGTAGGTGGGGGAAGGGTCAGGTTTTCAAAAAAAATCGAACCTCCTTTTTCAAAGAAGTAGAAAAAAAGAAAGGTAGTCCGCAGTTTTTAGTTTTAACCACATAAAAGTTTAATTTTCAAACAAAAAAAAACAGGTCTAAGCTACTCATTGATTAAACTTCGTTTGGGACCAATAGCCCTAGTCAATCAAGGAGGGTTATCCTGCAAGATCTTGCAAGAGTGAGATTATCTTGCAAGATCTTGAAAGAGAGCGGATATCTTGCTAGATAACCAACTATGAAATTTTCACAAAACCTTATTCTGGGCTGCAGAAAAAATTATGGAGATCCAATTTGACTACGGTCACAAAGAATTCTAGTGGTCTCAAAAAATTATGGAGATCCAATTTGACTACGGTCACAAAGAAAAGAGTTTAAGCTCGGAAGAAAATGTGTTAAACATTTTTTAAGAACATTCAAACATATTTTGATTTTTCATTTTTCATAATGTAAACTATTTCAGATTGCCGTTATAATTTATTCGTTTTCAATTAAAAATTTTCAAAAACCCATTTTTTTGACTTGATTGGAATTTTTCATCTAGTTTTGCAAATCTAGTCGTTAAATTTCATTTTTTTTAAGTTTTTTTTTTGTGAAAATTTTGATGAATAGAGTCAATTAGCTTGAGATATTTTGTATGTTGTGTTCACATTAATCCGATGAATAATTATGTTTATCTTATTATGTGGTTATTTTTTTCTTTTTAAAGTTGATTTCTTCAAGTGCTTAACTTTTTCCACTTGCTACTGGTAAAAAAAATATTTAATTGTCTTCTTGTGTAACTTTTTTTCACAAAAAAAATCATGTCTTTAAGAATCTTGCTAGAATTAAGGTTATCTTTAACGGAGGTTGTCTTGCAAGATCTTGCAAGAACTTGCAAGAGTCTTGCAAGATCTTTCAAAGAGATGCATCTTCTTTAAAAGAATCTTGCAAGATTCTTGCAAGATCTTGCAAGGTAACCTCCCTTGATCAACTAGGGAAACCTTGTTCATCAATAAACTTGTTAAAAGCTATGCTCAAATTAATGCAACAAGCAAAATTGACATTTTTTATAAGAAACGAGCTCTTAATTTTTTTAAGAACTAGATCAAATAAAAAAAGTTGAAAGAAACCTCATAATTTTTAAAATTACTTTCCACATATTTTTGTTGGTTCTGCGGGATATTTGATGCGTCTTTTGTCAGCTTCTTTCTGAATCATTTTTTAAAAATAGGAAATGATGTTTTGTTTACTCACTGAGAAAGAATGTGAGAGAGACAGCTAGCGCCTCACTCTCCTTGGAAGGCTCAGTGCCCATGGCATCCCCACCCAACGCCATCTTCAGTATCTCACGCCTAGTCTTGTCCCCCACCTTATCTACTTTGATGTGGGATGAGACTGCGTAGGCGGGACAGGGGGCGTCTCTGCGGTACCTATGATAACAACCTTCGTTAAAAAAGCTAAACATTTTTTCTCTTGTTTGAAGAATTAACAGTCTGTTTTTACCAGTTTATAATAAATATCAAAGCGACCGAAAGCGCAAAAAATGCTTTTGATTATGCGAGTCAAAGTTAATCCAAAACTAACCAAAAATTAATCAAAAACGTAAGTTTTTCCGCGCCTTTTTTCGCAAATTTTGATAAAAACGTGTGTATGAAGTAGCTCTTCGTGAAAATGCAACGCCCTTATACCTTACTAAAAATTTCCATTTAAAAAGAAACATTATGAAGAGCTTAACATGCAATTTGTAATTTAGATGGTATATGGCTCACCTGAGTATGAGTACTGACATTGCGACCATAGTGTAGGAAAGAAGAGTGCCTATGGACATCATATCAACCAGGTCCTCCAAGTTCACAATCAACGACAGAACAGCTGCAAAACAATCTGGGTTCATTATTTTTTTTCAAGTATTTTTTCAAGTACAATTGGGACTGAAAAGTGCAATTAAAACACCTTTTTAAATCTTAGTCATAATCATATTGCGATTATTATTACCTATTTTCCTGCCTGAATCATTAATATGGATTATTGAGTCAAATTTAATTAAACGAGCAAGGTGATTTTTATTAAGTTTAAATCAAAGTTAGAACGAGAGAATTTATGTTAACCTTCAAATTGGAATGAAAGTAAGGGTTCCAAAAGTTGAGTACTTAACAAAATTAGTTGAGGGTGCCTGAAATTAATTGATCCATCTACCTGCTAGTAGTCCTGATGTGAATGTGGCGTAAGTGGGGGTCTTGTGGGTGGCGGAGACGGTGGCGAAGAACTTGAACAGGATTCCGTCTGTGGCCATGGAGTAGATGATGCGGGGCATAGGGAACAGACTACCGAACAGACTAAGACAAACATAGAAGCATGATATACATAAATATATAGCGCATATAGGGGGGCAGGGGGGGCGGACACGCCCCCTTCAGGGATTCGACCCCCTGCCGACCCAAAGGGTCCCCCTTTGTACTATCTCGAAATCTACACTTTTGGCTGATTGAACTTGAACTTTTTTAAAGGCGCCCTAGGCGCCAATCTATACTAATTTTGAGCGGGGAGCGCGCGCCAAAAAAACGCAAACTTTTTGATCAAAGTTTTCCAAAAATGGCCTAAAACGCCTTTTTTGGCCTGTTCTTCAAAAATTTGACTACAGCGCAGAAAAATTGGTCAAATTAGGGTCTTTATAGGGTTTTGAGAGAGCTCTGAAAATCAATTTGGTGGATCTAAAAATTTGCAAACTTCTATTTGTGATTAGAAATTAACACAAATCAAGTTGAAATAATCCTTTAGCAAAAATATATGAGTTTTAAAAGTTAAGATCAATTAAGCAAATCAATCAAATCTGATGTCTTGAAATCGTTTAATTTCAAGATTTCAGCATATCTTGATAGAATGGTGCTATGTGTCATCAAATCAACTGGTAGCAAACTGTTTCTATTTGAAAAATTGTAGCATTTGACGATTTTTGAAGAAAATTGAAGTTTTTGTTATTTTGACATGTGCAAACGGGGTGTTCTCATAATTCGGGCTTTTGATCTAGTACTTTTTATAAGTTTCAATGGCACAGAGTCTAGAAATGTTATTGTTCGTTTTCTCAAATCTTCAGAATCTGTTTCGCTGAGTTACTAATATGATCATATCTTTTTTGTACAACCTTGTTCGGAGGATACTTTTTTTGGTATACAAAAATTCGTTCAAGATTTTCTTGGCTGGAACATCCCTTTACAACTAGTCCATATAAATAAGTGACAGTGTACGCAGAGTAAAGTTTGAGGTAGTGCAAATTTTGAGAACATTTTATGTCCTCTGTAAAGTATACCATTAAACCTGGCTAGTTTTTTGCAAACAAAAACCTAAAGATTTTAAAAATTAAGTTTTGAGTCAATAAAAATTCCTAAAAGTTTGTACATAACACAAGGCGTAATTTTGACTCACTTCAAACAAAATTACAGAAAATCATAATTGACAGTTTTGAATGCTTTGCGTTGATCATTCATAAGAGCCATCCCAGTTGTTTCTCTTCAACAGTTTTTCGCACCTTCCAAAAAGGCAACTACTTTGGCTCACTTTACGGCATCAGGAAAAATTCCTCGTCAATGCAATTGATAAAGCAGGATGCTATATCTCTCTGATGACTGGTGCAATTAGTGTAAACAGTTTGTTAGATATACAGAATACATTTTTTCTGGATTAAAAACAGCAGAAAGATTTTCCATAAATAATAGTTAACCAAGACTTTTCAATATGACCAAAAGGCGATTCTAAGTTCCCTTGTCTCTCAAAATTATGAACGAGAGTTTGAAACTCTACTTTGTTGTAACCATTTGGTATACGAAATAAGACACCCAGATGATTCAAAAAATTGATCAAAACAGCCTCGCTGCAAATCCGCATAATGCGACAAAACGTACATTTTGGCCTCGGACCGTTTGCGGTTTTTTCCATTAGCAGATATAGGGGGTTGGGGCTGATATTCCTTTCTTTAGGGACTCGACCCCTTCCGACTTAAAAGGCCTCTTTGTTCGAATTCTCCATTTTTTGGCTGACCGACCCTGAAATTTTTTAGCAACGATAAATACTAAGCATAAGGCGGTATCGCGCGCCAAAAAGGATAATTTTTTAGTCATCTTTTTCCAAAAAGTGCTCATAAATGCTTTTTTGTCTTTTTTTAAAAAAAATTGTCTGCGGCGCAGAAATTTTGGTCGAAATAGGGTCTTTGTAGTGATTTGGGATAACTCAGACAACCAATTTGGTCGACTCAACGAAACGTCGACACAAAACTTTCGTTTTAAAAATCCCTTAGATTAGGGTCGGAACGTTCTGGGATACGTGTACAGTAAGCGGCTATTCTTTTTGATTGCTGTTTTTTTAATTTTAAGTTTTTTAGACTTATGGAAATGGTCCTGATCATAAAAAAGTGTGTTCCATTGATCACCTAGTTGTGAGTGCACAGATGGCGCCGCCGCTGACTACTTTCTCCAACCAGGGCAACCCCCACTCCCTGAATATCTGGGGGATGGGCACATCTGGGTCCAGCTGGTCGTAGGGGAGGGTGATGGTGCATGCCACTGACACTCCCGCGTATGCTATTGTGCAGATGGCTATGCAGAGGATGGTGGCAATGGGAATGGCACGAGTCGGATTCTTCACTTCCTCGCCTTGGAAATTAGACAAAAATTAAAAACAGCGACCAGACAATTGAAAAAGTAGAAATGAACTCATGGAATCTAAAATATCGGCTTTTTTTCTTTTTTCCCCACGTGTAAACTTTTACAAATAAAAGTTTTGTTCACATTGTTTGATTGTTATGAAAAATGACATACATAATGATAAAGCCCAGATTAACATATTTTGTCTTCATAATCAACCTCATAAAACACTCGTAACACTAAAAAATTGAATCTCGTGTGAGGCGGGGGGAAAAGAAAAAAGAGCCAAAATATCTGATTGGAGTTTTTCTTAAAAATTTTGACTGTCAAGTTTCCAAGAAAAAGCCACACAACCTATATAACTGTTATTCACTTTGTTCATTTAACGCTTAGTTTTTTGAACGCCAATTAAATAAAGTAGCAACAGGGGCTGATCTAGGATTTTCTCGAGAGGGTCAGATTTTCGAAATTATTTTGATCTATTTTTTTTATCTATTCCGAGCTCTAAAAAATCCCTACAAAACATTGATAAATATTTTGACTCAATTTTCAGCGCCTTAGACAAATTTTGATTAAAAAACATGCCACAAAAAGCGTTTTTTGGGCGCGCTTCCACCCCAAGGTTAGTATATATTGGCGCGAAAACGCCTATAGAAAAATTTTAGGGTACTTCAGTCAAAAAGTGAGATTTCAAAGTCGTACAAAGGGGGAGGCACCCTTTAGGTCGGCACCCCAAATTCAATCAATAATGTCTACCGGGTTGAGATATATTGTATGTTGTGTTCCAATAAACAGTTATGGTAGTTATTTTCATATTACTTTTTTTAAATTTCGCCTTATTCATTTGTTTGAGATTTTTGATTTCCCGTTGATCGGAGAAAGAAGTTTTTGTTTGATAATTTTGTTGTCTTCAAGCAAAAAAAAACATTTTTTTACCGCAAAAAAAAAAATTTTTTTGTCGGAATCTTGTTTAAAAAATAGTTAAAAGTTAATTATCCTACAAGTTGGTTATCTTGTAAGATCGATCAAAGAGTTGTATTATCTTTTGAAGCATCTTGCATAATCCACTCCTTGATTGACAAGGAAAGATGTGTCAGGAAATTGTAATTTTATGCCTTTCGCACAACTTTGCGCCATCCATTTTTCAAGTCACTACTATTGAATATTCTTGAAAGCTTTTTGAGAGCCCTATTTTCAACGACAGTTGAACCGCGGCGAAACAACAAAATGCTAGAACCTCTTTTTTAATTGTATTTGTTTTTACCGGCCTACATTTTTGGCAATCCTTTCGAATTAACCCTCCAAACCTTCTTATTTATGATTTATCCCAAATAACAATCGACGCATTTGTTCAGGTTTGAACAGAACGAATGAGCAAATAAACTGGAGGTTTAAAGTCTGTTTTTCGTGAACTTTACATTTTTTTGTCATTGGAGAGCGCAATCTACTTAACTTTTAGCAGATGAAACTGCATCGAATTCCAAAAGCGCTTGAAAAAATCTAAATCATATATGCAGTTTTTTTTGTATAAATGCGCTTCTTTAACAAGAGAATTTAAAGAATTTAAGAATTTTTCTGAAAAAAAAAATAAATGCACCATCACGACGTTTATAAAACACAGTTCATTAAAAAAATTTTCATTGTTTTTTCCAACAGTTCTGAACGTGAAAAATCTTCTGGAATCTTTCAAATGTTTAAAAGAAATCAAAGTTCAAGAAAAAAATTGTCCACGGAATGCTTAGGTTGCATAGAAACATGAGAACTACATGTAGAACCCCAGAGCCAACAGTTAGAAAAAGTCACAAAGTAACGAAACAAAAAAAATTTTGCCTTAGTTTTTGAAAACACTTCATTTTCTGAATTTCAAAGAAACAAAAACTTGGTCTTATAGCTCTTTGAAATACCTATTTCGAGAAAACTGAATTAAGCTAAGTTTTTTATTGCGCTTGAAAACTGAAAAACAAAGTGCCTTTTTGAAACTAGATGTCGATCACGTTTTTTGTGATTTTTACGTTTTTGCTGTTCGATAGTGGAATTTGCATCCCTTTCAATAAAAAATGGAGTTAACTTTGAAATTCAAAGATCAAACTTCTAACAGAGGTTGCATTAACATTTGAAAATCTCCTCTAAAATTAAAGAAAAATTAGAGAAACACATGTTACAGAAATGCAAATCAGTACCAATTGAAAGATCGCTCATAGAATTACTACTTCTACAATCATTTTAATTTATCGAGAGAACTTTGTAGTTCAAAATGTTTTAGTTTTTTCCACGCAAAACCATACACCACAAATAAATACCGGAACGAGTGGTTTGAAACATCATATTTAACCCGTTTCAGTTGTCATTCGAATGGCTTCAAAAAATTCGAATTATCGAGAAAACTCCGTTTGATTATTTTGATCATTGGTCTAGATTTGAGCAAATAAAGCAACTGTGCAGGCTTTTTCATGCGTAATTTAAACCGTTTCGAATTTTTTTCCTTTTTACAATATTAGTTTACGCCGCTTACAATAGTTTTTTAAGGCCACTTTTGGGAATAAAAAAATCAAAAAAATTCAGCAAAAAGAATTTAAAATTTTTTTTGAAAAGGTTCTTTGATCTTTTTCTCGTTTTCTAAAAAAATTGTTGTCCAATTTGTTTGTCATACTACGCCACGCATAAATAATTTGTGTTACGCTCTCAGCAATTTGAATAAACTCTTCAAAGCGCGCATAATTTAGTCCAGACCATGAACAATTTGTCAATAATTTTCAAACCCCCAGAACTTTGCAAAAATTAATTAGAAGTAAAATATCTTTTTTTATTTGAACTCAGAAAGTCGATTTCTTCAATAGAGTATAAAAAAAATTCACGAAAAAACTATTATTTCGATCGGCGAAAACTGACTAAATAAAAAAACCACACCGATCATAAATATTCCGATTTCTTCGACACCAATAAACACACCCGACAACATCCATTTGTCATTAATTACTAGCCTATTTAAAACACAATAAGGCATCAGTGAACTTCAACTGCATTTGTAACAGTACGAGCTACTAACATAATTTAACAACCATTAAGCTTTAGTAAATGCTAACTAAACTTACCGGCAGTAGCGATGACATCAAACCCAATGAATGCGTAGAAACAAATGCTAGCTCCTGCCACCACTCCGCTGAACCCAAATGGCATGAACCCTCCGGACCCCACCGCCACTTCAGATGGAGAGAGTTTCCAGTTTTGGAAGCCAATCACGCCAATCTAAACTAGAGGTAAGGTAAAAAAATAAAACAAAAATATTGCTTTTTTTTTTCTCTCTCTCTCTCTCAATCTCTGTCTGCTTTTGACAAGAGGTTTATAAAATTTTTAATGGTAGTTTTTGAGCCATACTTTAAATATGACTGTTCGACGAGATTTTTGGGTAGATGTGGATCACAATTAATTAAAAATCAAAATTTTTGTCCATCAATTTCGGCCAACTTGATTATTTGATGCAAGGGCGAGCGATTATATATGTCAGTACTTCCCAGGTTGAACGAGGTGATAGATAAAGGAAACAAGACTGCTCGTATCAGGGCGAAACCCTGAATGTTCCGACTGCCTTTTAAGGTTTATGGAGCAGTAATAACATTGAAAAATTAAATGTAAGAAAAATTAAAATGAAAATTTTTTTTCTTCTAAAATTTGATATTTTTTATGAAAATCATCCCCCCACACGCCATACAAAGTACAAAAGGATCGATTTTGCTCCTTGTAACAAACCAATAATGGCGAATAATCTTCTTTTAACCAATTTGGAACGATTTCTATGACGGATTAAATCTCCGCTTACGCGTTAATAGCGCGAAATATATCGCACGTTAATTGTCCCAAATTGGCCAAAATGGCAATCTTTAAACCCCCATAACTTTACGAAAAATAATCACAGGTGAAATATCTTTTCAAATTTGAGCTCAGGACAACAATACCTTTCGAATGATATAAAAATTTTCCGTCAAAAATGGCTAGTTAAAAAGTCGAAATTTGTCTGAAGAAAAAAAAAAACCCACCCCGAGAACAAATACTCCGTTACTTTCGTATCGAAAGTCGGAACAACAAGACTGCTCGTATCAGGGCGAAGCCCTTAATGTTCCGACTGCCTTTTAATGTTTATGGAGCAGTAATAACATTAAAAAACTCAATGAAATAAAACAAAATAAAAAAAAAATTCTGAAATTTGAATTTTTTATGAAAATCATCCCGCCAGACGCCATACAAAGTACAAAAGGATAAATTTCGCTCCTAGTAACAAACCAATTATGGCAAATAAGCTTCGTTAAACCAATTTGGAACGATTTCTAAGACGGATTAACTCTCCGCTTACGCGTTAATAGCGCGAAATATATCGCGCGTTAATTGTCCCAAATTGGCCAAAATGGCAATCTTTAAACCCCATAACTTTACGAAAAATGGTCACAGGTGAAATATCTTTTCAAATTTGAGCTCAGGACAACAATACCTTTCGAATGATATTAAAAAAATTCCGTCAGAAATGGCTAGTTAAAAAGTCGAAATTTGTCTGAAGAAAAAAAAACCCACCCCGAGCACAAATAGTCCGTTACTTTCCTATCGAAAGTCGGAACAAAAATTTACGAAGTGTTCACTCGCAGGAAATACTTCTGAGGAAGTTTTCTCAAAATTCAGGAAATGAAAAACGTTGAAAACGGCCCGGGTTGACAAAAATGCTTGTCATACAATTTTCATTAATGAAAAAAATGCTTATCATACTCTTTCATACAATCTCATGGAGCAAAAGTAAGTGTATGAAATTAGCATGATAATCATTTTTGCATACTATGAAACTTCTATCATATATGAAACTGTATGATAAGCATTTTTCTCCTATGGACGTCAACGCGGGGGTCCAAAAAAAATTTTTTTCTCAAAATACTTTGGAAGACCTAGTCACTACTCTATAATCCACAGAAGTGCACAAGAACAAAAATCCTCCTTTTGTAATTCAATATTTATACATGTATGTCTTACTGCGTATAGTCCGAACGAAGTGATGAATGTGATAACGCATATGTTCATTATAGTGAGCACATTGGTAACCATCGTCGACTCCTTCACACCCCACCACAACAACACTGAAATGAACAATGATTTAAATGGCGTGAACAATCATTCATTTTACAGGGAAGTGCAATTAACCAATGGTTCCTTTAATGGCTTTTTCACTCACCCCAGCAAATTGGTGTTTATCACGTTTTCAAAAATACTTGTTTTGTTATTTTTGTTATTTTTGCCCTGCACTATTTGTACCACCGAAAACTTCTTTTAAACTAGCGATGACGTAACACTAGCGATGACTAGATAACACGTAAACAGAACAGCTTATTAATTCATAACAAAATTTCGAATCAATTGAATGAGGATGAAGGAAAACTGTTGCCTCTCAACAATTATCCAAGAGTACGTTTTTTGGGATGTGCGATAAGGGCAAAAACTAAATCGTTAGTAGTTAACCTTGATCGATACGTGATGAAATTGGGAATGGTTTTATAAAAAAATGAATGTCTAAAAAATTGTTAATGTCTAAATTGAATGTCTAAATAATCGGAGTCATATCAACCGACGAAAAAATTCTTTGAGTTCAAAGCTAAATAGTCTATAGTTTTAATTTTGTTTTGGCATTTTTTTGGTTTCAAACTGAAAAATGGTGGGCGTCTGATTCTCGCTGGTGTCTGTTTTTGAGACGGCAATGCAGGGGCGGATTTAGGGGGGGGGCGAGGGGGGCGGACGCCCCTTCCCCTCCCCTCAGGGATTCGACCCCCTGCCGACCCAAAGGGTCCCCCCTTTGATACATTTCAAGAAATCCATTTTTACCTACCGACCCTAAAATTTTTCTGAGGGCGCCTTGGGCGCCAATATTAACTATTTTTTGAGGGGGAGCGCACGCCAAAAAAAAGGTCGTTAAAATTTTTTTAAATTTTTTGAAAATCCGCCCCCCCCCCTCGAGAAAATCCTAGATCCGCCCCTGACTTGGGTAACTGCCCTTGCAGTGAAAGCATCTATTCGACCCAGCTACCTGATTGGTAAATCCTTGTGCCGCAAAAAGATTCTATGTGACTAATATCATCGGTAAGCCGGAAATCGCGATCTGAGTGTCGGGATAATTGCAAAACCACCAGAATGTTACAGTCAGAAATTCCAGCTCATTAGGGCTGTATTTTTATTCTCGTTGTTTAAGAAAATCTTGTAAAAAAATTTGGGACCGAAATCATTTCAATCTCATATTCAATGTAGGCCCCAGCTATTTTTGGCTTGCGTCGGTTTTTGATTTTGATGCTTCGCAGTATTTGTGGTGTTGCATTTTTTTTTGTAATTTTGTGCTAATAGGGCAGGGGCGGATCTAGGATTTTCTCGAGGGGGCGGATTTTCAAAAAAAAATTCGAAAATTTTGACGACCTTTTTTTATTTTTAGGTCGACCAAATTGATTTTTCGAGCTCTCCCAAAGCACTGTTTTGCCCCTATTTTGGCTAAATTTTCGGTCGGCCAAACATGGATTTCTGAAACAGTATCAAAGTGGGGACCCTTTGGGTCGGCAGGGGGTCGAATCCCCGAGGTGAAAGGGGCGTCCGACCCCCCCCCCCCCCCTAAATCCGCCCCTGTAATAGGGTATGTTTCAGATTGCGTCTGATTCCCTTAAGAACCATTAATTTTAGATTATTTTAGGTTCTCAGTGATGATAAAAATCGCTCAGTATGGGTTTGAAAATTCGGTATTGATCATTGCAATTAATTTCGCACCACAGCAAACAACCTCAATTGCTTTAGGATCTTCGCTGGCTCCAGATTTAGAAACACGCTGATCTTGGCTTTTTTTAAGTTCTGACGCGTGTTTGATTCATTTCGAACCTGGTCCAAGTTGGCTTTGGAAAAGTAAATTCGTACAACCAGAAGTTAGATGCAAAGTTCTTGTTGTGCAGACTGTGGATTACCTCTTTAACCACAGCATTGTGATCTGACAATAAAACAATGAAGACTATCAAGATATTGTCGAGAAAACAAAATAGTCCTGGCGAAACTCTTAACGTTTTTACTATGGCCCATCTGAATTCTTTTGGTATGTCTGTGAGGCCATAAAAGCCTGCTTTGAAGCTGTAGATCTCAATGGATCATCTGCAAACGATATTAGAAAGCCTTTTGACTAGATAAACCATCGGTAAATTGACAGAAAGCGTATTTGGAGTCTGATGATGCGAGCCCAAAATCTTCAGGAGGTTTGGAGTTGATGATCAGAGCGCAAGAATCTAACAGTTCACACAATTTGGACAATTGGATATTGAGCGGTCATTGGCTTTGCGTATATTGTCAAACTTTTAATGCCGTCCTTTATTGCTGTCATCATTTTTGGTGCCACAAATTGATCGCTTGTGCACATGTCCAATTTCGTTTTATGTTTTTCTCGTACCAGCTTTCGGGTCTCATTGTTCACTTTCCCCTCGTGGTGGAAAAAAAAACTCTTTTTATTTAAATCGCGGCTATTTAAATTAAGTATCAATTTTATGGTCAACAATCATCGATTTTTAGAGCGCGTTTGTTGTAGCTTTACACTTCTTCTGCAGGAATACTGTCTTTAACGTCTCATCTGGGCTTGCCTCCGGACGACTAAAGAGTTCCCTAAGAATATTTGCAAATCTCTTTTTTGCCATCGGATGTCCGAAATAGTCATTCTGCTATTGTCTTACGTTCTACAGATGCATCCGTTCTACGTTCTCCTATGCATGCGTTCTACAGAGGATTTTTTTCTTTCTTAAACAATATCTCCCACTTTCCGTGGATATTCCTAAAAATAGACGTTTAGATATCCATATGGGCATACTGTTACTTGAATGCTTTTTTTCATTTCGCTCCGTGGGAGCATAATAGGTGGGATTGCATTCTGGCCTCCATCTCGTGGCAGTACACATTTGAGACGACTCTTAGACCTTTGTAGTAGGTTCTGCATTCGCTTCGGTAAGTTATTGAAACACTGCGGGGTTTCTGTCTATAGGGTTTTCGTTTTGATCTGCGTTTTCTGGTATGTGGGATTACTAGTCGGATTTGGAGGTGGGTCGTCATGCACTGTTCTTGACGTAGTCAAGAGTAAATTCGGATAGCAGTTTTCTCTGATTCTGACCGTTAAAAACCTGACCGATCCATGCCTCCCGCTCATAAAGCGGATTCAATGAGGGTTTTGACCAGACTGATGATACGCCCAGTTGATCTCTTCGGTACTCTGATAAAAATGAAACTGTCGGCTGAGCCGTGTGGTACAGCCTAAAGTTTTTTCTCTGAATTCACTAGATAGTTTTTAAAAGGGAACAATTATTTCTTAATACTAATTCGAATCAACAGAAACAGAATGTAGAAAAACTTTAATCTCTCAACAATTATCAAAGATTGCAAAGAATTTAAAATTAAATATCTCATTGACTGATTTAGCCTGGCTTCACGCCCAAAAACTTTGTGTGCTTCTGTTTCAGCAAAGTTTTTGCCGTGAGCTTAAAATTGGAACAATAATGGCATAAATCAAATTACCAGTGTTTCTGATTTTTCTGACATGCTGCACTTCTTTTGAGCTACTTTTCGTTTGACTTCTCGAGTCGAGGTGACCAGCCCAGATTTAAGCAATAATTGAGCGGTTTGAGCGGTTTCGTAGACAATTACGCTCAGAATCATTTTGTAGAAGAGTTTGAAGAGTCTTTGAGCGGTTTTTTGTATGGCTTTTCAAAAGACGTAATGAAATTTTTGGACCATAGAATATTTTAGGTTGATTTGTGCCTTAAATTTTGGTACTACGAAAGCTTAGAAGTTCTGAGTTTTAAAGTGTTGATTGTGTGAGCCGTGCAACAAGTAACTCGGTTAGAAACTTTTGGGAAAAAATTTCAGACAAAATTGCTCAAGATTTGAGCGGTTTGAGCGGTTTTAGAAATAATTTGAGCGGTTTTGAACGTTTTGATCGTTTCTTGCATGGATTTGAGCGATTTTTGGCCAATTTGAGCGATTGGAGCAGAATCGTCTAAAAACCGCTCAAATTCCTCAAATCTTGAGCGGTTTTTGAGCTGAATCTCGACTAGGGTATATCTGCAACAAGCTTATCGCATTGATGTATTCAAAGCTTCCAAGTTTTTCACTCGTTAAAAACTTTTAAAGGCCAAGCAGAAAATCTAAAATACATGCTAACGCGTCAGGAGAAGAATCATTCCGCAAGATATGAAATCAGGGTAGGGCGCCAGAAACCGGTTGTTGAGTGGCATCGCTTCACTCAAAACTTTGCCAACAACTCCGCCCAAAATTGCCCGGTCGAAATACTGACTCAATGCTTTAGCTGTACTTGCACTGCCTGAAACATACCAACTTTTACTACGGTAATTCTTACGAAGTCAGTTGTAATGTTCTTTGCATGTGATGTCATACCAATGACGTATTGCATAATCATGGTCCACCCGAGTATGAAGCCACTGATTTCTCCTATGCTAGTGTAGATGTAAGTGTAGGCAGAGCCTGATTTTGGCACTCGAGATCCGAACTCGGCATAGAAAAAACCTGAAAAAATGTAACACTTGGCTGAACCTGTTGAATTAGAAACCTGTTGAATTAGAATTAACTATGGTTCCATAATCACCAAGTAGTCATACTGCTTTGAATCACGTTTCTACTTTTTAATTGATATGTTTACTTGACAATTTAAATTCTCTTTCTGTTTTGAAAATTGAAAAGGTCAACAAATGACATGGTTTCGACTTGAACACTGGAAAGATAACAAGAAAAAACTTAGCTTATTCGAAAAAGAAAACATTCGTGGAGCAAATGTAATTATAGTTACCAGCAAGTAGCGATGCTACAGCCGCGAATAAAAAAGACAACACAGTTGCGGGTCCAGCGTCCTTATGAGCGACCATACCCGCAATAACATAGATGCCCGCTCCCAAGGTACTCCCGACGCCTAACATGGTCAACTGAAAGGTTGTCAGAGTTCTGTTTAACTGGGAGCTGATCTCGACGTCCAGTTCCATCTCTGGTCTCCTCACCATCTTCATGGATACCTTCCGGATAGAGGCTCTTAAATGAAAACAATTGCGGCTGGTACAGCGACACATCGTAAAAAGTTTTGCCAGGATTCTCCAGAAATTGGTTAACCCTTTAGCTTATATGTTTCCATCAATAAGTATCTGGTTAGTTTCTTTGATTTAAAAAATTCAAAAAAATGCGAATAACTGTGCTCCAATCTTGCATGGTAATTATAACGACAACGATGAGTTATGTATTACATATCATTAATGAACGTTTCTTGAAACAAACCGAAGTGCATGGAAAGTTTCTTCAACAACATCTGGTCTCAATTTTTGCTATTTCAACTTCTCAATCTTTGTTGTTTTTTTTTGTTTGTTTTTTTGTAGCTTTTTTGTTGTTTTTTTTGCAGTTTTTCGCAAAGTCGTTTTTAGAGAGCGTATAAAAGGTTTGAATTCTTATGATTTTTGCAAAATAATTGACAAAACAGAATTAATTTAAGAACCCAAATTCCTTAAGATAAATGAATATAAAACAAAAGCCAGATTAACAGTCTTTTCTTAAAATAAAAGTGAAAGAAATATGATTTAAAACGCTAAAAAAAATAAGCATATTTTAAAATTTTCAACGCCAAAAAAGAACTCACATGGCGCCATATCCTTTTTTTGAGTTCATTACGAAAGTTTTCTCCAAGTACAAAGTCTTCAACTGTCAGGTTAAAATGAATAACAAAAAGCAAACAAACTCATAACTTCTAGCAAACAGCTTCCTTGGTCCAATGTCTTGCCCTCAACTAAGAGTTCGAATGAACTAAAAGTGGCGCGATTTTGTTTACCTGTTCATGCTAGTTCTATTTGAAGTGCCTCGGCTCAGTTGATCCTGATCTGACGCATCCATATTTTAGATGTGTTTCTTTGGGATCCGAGGTCGATTGTTTTGTCCCTGAAAAGTACACCTAAGGAATAAGCGCTTTTTTGGCCAATAGCATGTCAAGTTAAAATAATCACATGGCATTGGCTGAACCTTGTTCGAAAGCACACGCCACTTCTAATCGAGTGTCATGTTTTTCGCTAGAAAAGAGATCGAGAAACAAAAATGATGTTTTGCCCTTAATGATCTGGTTTCACAAAAACTGTCAAGACTCGTGTAAAATGTCTTTTTTTGTGTTTTTTTGTGTTTTTAGCAACGTCCCTGCTTTTTCTTTGGATCCGTTCGGTTCTCTTAATCCGTTCTACAGATTATTTTTTCCAATGTTTATTTTTGGGTTTTACTGTTCTTTTTATTGCAAGCTTTTGCTTTGTTTCTTCTCACTGCAAAGTTTCTCTGATTAAATCTCTCTTAAGCTGAGAGATATAACGAGACAATTTTTAGAAATATCAGATGAAGATTTGATATTTTTTCTCAGTTATGCAAATACCCACACTCAGTAAAAAGATTTGATAATCAATTATATGTTAATTTTTTTGGTCTGTCTCTATAAAAGTCTAAAATTCACAAAGCCCTGAAAGTTCGGCTTTCCCTCAACTTACAAAGAATAAGTCATTTTTATACAAAATTTATAAATTGATAACAATTTAAAAAATGATTTTTTTTCTCAGATTGCTATTAAAACATACACACCTACCATTGCTATCCAAAGTTTTAACTGATTTCTTTAGCGCCTAGCAACGTAATAATTGTTCCAAATTCACACTGAGCCAGAATAAATTACCAATTATGCGTTCTTGGAACGAAACATATCGTGCGTAGATTTCCCAAATATTGAGTTTATGCCTGGAGTAGCTTACTTATAGAGTAATTTCAGATAAAGTACACCGTCTGTTCGTCACGCTATCTTGTTTTCGGCCGGATAGATTCGTGCATATTCTTAGTCTAATACCAATCTTAATCCCACTCTTACATCTTCTAGTCTCAATAGATCTAGCGTATACTGGTATTTGCGGGTTAGATATCTGGAACTTGTTCCAAAGGAGAACAACTGTCTTCCAAGATATATTCAAACTGTTCTGGTGCTGAAACTACAAGTAGCTTCAGCACTACAAATAATTGTCAGTCTTAGTTATGGATCATGATTGGGCAGTTCTAAGTACTTTACAGAGATGGTTTATCAAAAATATTTTTGTTTATAAATACTAGTTTTAAACTGGTTCCACCCATCCGGGGTTTAGAGAGTTTTTAGTTTTCAAATTATTTTTTATAGTGCAGGATCGATGTGGAGATTTCTTTGTTCTTTGGAGTACTTTACTTTGGGGAGCAGTGACTGCGTGAAGAAAGGAGAGGTTTAGTTGTCTTCGTAGAGAGTAGAAGGGTAGTTTGTCTCGTTTTTCCTAGATCGTCTTGGGTGATCGTGTAAGATTTCATTTTGATGCAATGATGTGTCGATTCCGTTGAGCTTAGAGCGAGACTACGTGCAAGATAAAGTTTGAAGAGCCAAGTGACTAGGATCTGTATAAGAAGTCAACATCGAATTGGCCAATGTTCTTCTTCAATGGGTTCTTCAAGGCGATGTTGCGTCCACAATTCAATTCCTGCGACACTTGTGACTACGGAAACAAACCAATAGTTTTGCCATTCCAGAATCGCAATGTCGTCGAGTTTTCATCTTCCTTTACTGCTCGTTCCATTTGCTCTAAGAAATCTTTTACATTGCACATTAAATCTATATCTTGTTATTGAGATCAATTTTAGATGTGATGTTCTATTAGTTGTTTTGACAAAAATATTTTTAATTAGTTTCGGTTAATTTAAGGCGTAGCTCACCCTAGAGCAAGTCTCCTCAAAATGTGAGTGCGTGTCATAAGCGTGGTGTTGCGAGGTGGATTAGGCCGGCTATAGAGCATGCTCAGGACGTCCTACTGGGTGGTAAGGCCAGTTGAGGGAGTATAGTTTTACCGTTTCTTTGAGCAGAGTCTCATATTGTGTTCAACTTTTTGTACTTCTTCATCAAGTGTTTTTCTCTTTTTGTTTTTGGTTGTGTCCTTTTATCAAAAACAGATTGTTTTCTTTTGGATTTTTATTGATATTTTGGCGTTTTAAATGATTTCAATGAAACTTGAAAATGGGTTTCAAAAAAAATCAAAATCTGGGTTTAATCTGGTCTGAGTACCGTGGGACTTTCTTATACATGTGGTTAGTTTTGTGGTATAAGTGGGCTGCGTTGGTTAGTTTAAGCTTAGTTATAGTTCCCTCCAACCTGGTTTAGCGAAAGTTTGAAACGCATGAAAACAAGTTGGAGTTGTTATCAGTTATTTTTGAGACTTCAAAATCATTCATCAAACAATTCTACGCGGGCAAGCTGAGCAATTTTGGTGGACAGAAAGGGTGAAATGTGGTCGAGTAAATGACAAAATTCAAGTTACAAAATAAGCAAACCTAAAAACGTTAGTTGTTTGTATTTTGTTTGCATTTTAATAATTTACTACTTCGTATTTTTTGATTTATTAGTTATCAATTTATTGACTGCTTATGACATTTTTTGCTTTTGGATAATTCAGATTCATCGTTAGATTCAAAATTGAGAATTATAAAAAGAGTTTGTAGTTTTCTGTTTGTATTTTCATGTCTTAGGTGAATGACTGGTGAAATCTAAGAAAGGATTGTGAAAAAAGTGTAAAAAAGGTGAGTGTTTTGTTTTAATTAATAGTGGTAAAAAAAATTCATACTTACGAGGGTTCTGTTTCAGGGAAGAATCCATGGAAGAGTTAGTTTTTATCATGTCGGATGTTATAAGAAGCTTGGCGAGCATGCGAATTACGTTTTTATTGCGCAGCAGCAGCCAAAGAAGCTCAAGTGCTCTGATGAATTCTACTTCTTCGGTGAGTGTTGAAAATTCATGATTTTTGTTATGTATTAGGTTATGAAGCTTGTGGTTAAATTTAGTATTATGAATGTGCTCGAGTAGGGTTATTCACTTGGCTGTACATAGTCGCGGGGAATGTTTAATGTGCGAGCATAATCAATGGGAAAGTTGTTGGTTAGTGGGCAGATTATATATATCTGATCGATGGGATCGTAATTGCAAAGGATGCCGTGTAAGCTAGTAGATTTAACACAATAGTTGATATTTAAGAAATATGGTGAGGTGTACTTGAATTCATAAACATAAATCTACGTTGTGGGTTACGAGCTGGTGTTTGTGATATAATGTTTTCGTATAAATTTATAATATATGTAAGTGTGGGTTAGTTTGTGTTCTATAATATAACTTCGTTCGAGCAATGCATGTCTATTTCCTTCGGTGTAATGAAGTGAAATGTGATTGCAAAAAAGTTAAAGTTACTGAAAATTGTTTCGTAGGCTTTGGTGTTTGTTTCACGGGCGATGATTCGATCAAAATTTTTATTAGTGCTATCTAAGTGGAATATATATATTTTGATCTGAGGAAAATTTTTTCAGTTAGTTGAGGATTAGTGTTGGGGTCGCCTTCGTGTGGGGTATCTTCCATGTATCTGGTGAGAGATTGATCGTAGTGATTAATGGAAAACCTTTTTGCGCGAGGTGTTATAAACCTATTTAGGGTTTGGTTTAGGCCGATCGTCGTGAATTGATTGTTGTTAAGTGCGATGTTGATGATCAATTGGTGATTGAAGGAAGGGCAGAGTTCGTTATCTTTGAGGTTGTTTTATAGTGGGAATTTCAGTGGATTAGCAAAACTGTAGGAGGAAGTTCAAGAGAGTGTGGGAATTAGCACATTTTCATCAACGAACAAACTCAGTTGGTTTCATTGTATGTGCATTGAGGGAAAATAGTTATTTGTGGATTAGGAGTTGTGGGGTTTTAGTGTGTTGCGGGTGATGTGAATATAGTCGGGATGATTGTGGACGACTAGTAAGAAATTGAGGTGTAGCGTCATGGTGCTTTCTTTTAAAAAATCGGTGTGCTCTTGTAGGTGCGATATGAACGGAATGAATTGAGGATTCGATTGATGAGGCTGAATAAGTTAGTTGATGAATTGATATTGCGTTATTTGTGTCATGAGGGTGTTTACGTTGAGTAATAAAAATATCTAGTTCATGCTCTAGTTGATTGTCGGTCATTGGGCTGGGTGCATCGGGTTGATTACTTGACATTGGGGAAAGTGAGTTATAAAGAAGATTATACTGAGGGGCGAAAATTTTTTGTGTGCGGTTGTTTTGATACCTGCTCGTATGTGTCGTCAATGATTAGTTGTTGGAGTGTTATATCTGATATTTGCTACCTTGTGAGGTAAGATTAGTAATTGCCAGCATGTTCCTATAGTGTGTTAGAGGGTGATTGTTATGTAGATTGTATGGTTGTGGTGCTGTGGGTGTTATGTTTGTATTGTCTTGTGAAGTGTCATTTGCATGTGGCTTTGTAGTTGGCTTTTTGTTATATTAGCTAATCTGAGCGTCAATGAGGATCTTATTGATGGAGCTTAAAAAATTCCAAAAACTCCAGGAAACGAAATGCGTGCTACGCTTGCTTGTGGATTATTTTGTGTGTGTATTTTACAGGTGTTATAGACTCTTTTTACAAAGGAAAAATAAATCCAAGAAAATCAAAAAGGGCGTATAAAACAATCAATCTCTCTGATACTTAGTATGGCCATCATAGAAAGGCTAGGAGCTCGTTTTGGAGTTTAACAAAACTAAAAATGTTAAGCGGTGAGATATCTTGGGAACGGTATTTATTTAGTCTTTTTTATCTTTAAAGTATCCTTTGTAATCTTGTTTATAAATATCTTGGAAGCCTGCTGTTTCAGCTAGTTTGCGTAAATTTTGCTCAATTGACTGCCTTTGCATTGTATTTTTTTTGTGAGGAGTTCTTGAAATTGTTGTGTTCGAATGATATGCTGTATTTTGGATTTAGAGTTAATACGGAATGATTGTAGATCTATGTTTGGATTGCGAGCAGTTGCGCGAATGCTTTCGGGTGAAAATTTCTTGAGAGGTGACATTAGTGTAGGATATGGGGTGAGGA